ATGTTAATTCTAATTTTTTAAATACTTATTAATTAAAGTATGTACTAGATAGGATTTATCAACAAACTGCCTTTTATTAATAATATATTAGCCTAACATTAAATTATCCAACTTTATCAATAAAATAACTATCAATAAAATAATTATAGAATTAGTCTATGCCATAATTATAACTCAGAAATATATAACATCAAATAAAAAACCTTCTTTTTATTGGTTTACTTGTATATGTTGTAAAAACAAAGTTTAAATAAATTTGTAACTTCTTAGAATTTTATAGTTAGATTGTGAGCTTATATAAAATAAAATTTAACTTAAAATTATAATCTTATTAAGAATTTCAAATTCCATTCCCATCCAATATATATTATGTTAAATTTATTCACTCATTCTAAATAAAGTATTCTGTTATGAATTAATAATTGTTATAGATAATGGTAGGGCTGATCAGTTCGTCCCAGTCCGTTCCAGTCTCTAAGAAGACCGGTTCTAATAGTACTGTGGTTCAGTTCAGTACCCGGTCTCAAAAATAAGCTATTTTTATGTGTGATTGTCAATTTTAGCTATGTCTCATCATTTAAATAAAAGTCACGCAATAATTATATAAAAGTTCATTTATAGCTTTTTTTATTTTAACTATTAAAAGCTTATTTAATAGTTTTTAATAGTTTATTACGTATTAATCAGTCTGAACTAGTTAAAAGGCTGAAAACTGAAGACCAGTTCTTAACCAGTCTTCTCAGGACCAAGTTAATGGTGAAATTGATTGATACCAAAATTTGAAGTCTTAATATAAAAATATATGCCATTCTAAAATATACACCTATTGTCAATTCTAGCCAAAATTCTAGCTCACTCTAAAAAAAAATGAAAAAAAATGACTCTAAATAAAATTTAAATTTTACATCAAAATATGTTCAATTTTTAACATCAGCCGCAACAATAATTAATCAAATTTCTTTAATTACGTTTCTGACCCAGTAAGAAGCATGAGTAATTTGCTCGTTCTCATTTGCATATATTTTATATAAATAAACACCACTCTTCGCAACTTATTTGCACCTCTAATTATAAATAAAATAAAATATTACTCTGATTTCATCGATTCTAATTCTAATTCTTAGCACGGTTTCGACAAAGATTAATAAAATCTTGGTTGTTTAGAATAGTAACTTGCGTTATATATATATATATTTAAGCTAGTAATCAATTCTTGTTTTTTTCATTAGCACCCTGTCTTATATTTGAACCTCTTTTTTTTATTTTTTGTAAGATCTGTTGGTTGGCAAGAACAACATGTCAAATATACTGAACATACGTTCAAGCGAAAGCTTAATTTTGGTGACATTTTAATATCGTTTAAAATACAATTACAAATAACATCGATATATATAATTATCATTATATCCAAATAAAAAATTTATCACTGCCAAAATCAAAAACTTATCGAATCGATAAATAATCATTCGGTCAATTTTTTACCAGATGCCCAATTGCCGGAATTTTTAACTGTCAGGATTTTTTTGTCGGGATTATGACCTGTCGGGATTCTGTCTGTCAGGGTTTTAACAAAACCCAATTGTCTTACGTAAACGGAGATCACCGGCACTTTACAATACGTTTTGTGGACTGGTCCTATGAAAGTTTGCAGAAAAGCGTTACACTGTAATTTACCATAATCTGCAGGTGTCATCTTTTTGCAAAAACAATCGGAAAAGGCAGTTCTCATGATCTACGAATAAGATTTCAAGATTAGACAAACGTTCGTTCTGCAAAAAAACGCTCATAACTCAAAATCAACGTAAGAGACCACCTTTTGTGTTCTAACAAAAAGTTTTCAATGGACAATTTTATTATTACAACTGCATCCCTCTAACTCTTAATCTGACCTTAACCCTAACCTTAATGAATTTTAAGAATTTTGTCTGCGCCATAAACATATCTAATTGCATTGTAAGCCACACTCTTTAAAAAGTCATAATTCCAAATTTTTTTTACAAAATTCCAATTTCTCTAATATAACGTCCATACATATGCTATATTTATAATTGGCAATTAAATATTTTAAAATTTTTGACATTTTTTATTTAAATTTTCTCTAATTTTATCTTAGAAATGTCTCAATATTTGAAGCTGTTTTCGAATTCTACGGGCAAATAGAATTTAAAATGGTCTTAAATATTAAAATTGGGTGCGAGAAATGTTTAGTAGAAGTTTAAAAAACATGTAATATTAGAAATTTGTACAATACAATTAGCTAGTATAATTTTAGCAAATCACAGGCTTGCATTTTAATACAGTATATTCTGATTCCCGTGGCATAAAATTTGTTGATCAAAAAGAAAATAACTAACCACTAACATGACCTCCTAAACTGTCAAGACATTTCAGTCTTAGACTAACCAGGATCTCAATGGTCATACCTTCTGACGTATTTATTATAGCCAAAAATAAACCATCTTATTTAAAAATTGGGCTTTAAAGAATAGCTAAAATAGGCATCTTCCGAATAATCATTTCACAAAATTTGGACACACTGATTACTACGAAATATACCCTTTCCAATTGAACTTTATTTTTACATTCAGACATTTATATTTGTAGAAAAAGTTCAGATATTTGTATTTTATAAAGATATAAACATGATATTTAGCGTCATTTACTGTTTATAATCTGATGGGGCATAATTTAATTGATTACTTAAGCAAAAGACGGAATAAACAGAATAAGAAAAAAAAAACATATATTATATATTTACCTTTCTTATACATGAATAAGGTAGGGACCATAATGAATGGTGAAAGGAAATATTGAATAAAGGCAGAAATCCCGCAAAATTCGTGCTCAATTATACACATGAGCTTCCATGCCATAATAAATTTTAAGAACTATTAGTAAATTACCACAGAGTTTTAAATGAAAGTTTCCAAGAGTCTATAGGGCTGAAAAAAAATTGACGACCAATCATAACTATCGACAATCTCTATCATGTTGGTTTCATCATTACATTACAGCAGTTTTCAAAAGTTGTGAGCAACGATTTTCATATACCTATATGGGAAATCGAGGAATCGGGAAATTCTAATTAGCAAAAGTTGAATGTCTGGTTAGAGCTGTTTAGAATATAAGGAGATTATAAAAAGAATTTCCCGTGATATGATCTGTATCTGTTCCAGTGGTTTGCAAAAAGGTGTGACCCCACGATTTTTTCTGATAACGATAGTGGAGAATTTCGAAGAGTCTAGCTTTTCCATCAATCATATATTCGATCAGTGATATTTATATGTATTTGGAAATATGTATAATTAATTCTCTTAAAATTGAAAAATCATCTTATTTCCTGCGATTTTACATTACACGATGATCTGCAGAGGTCACACCTTTTTGCAAAACCTTTGAAACCAACTATAATAGTGTCTGTTAGCCTAGAGGTGAGGACTAAACGCTATTAAAGTGTAAATTAGGTCTTATTCAAGTGTGGATTAAATCTTATTCAAAATATAAATTAAATCCTATTTAAGTATTAAGAATAAATAATTACGTGAAATTATAAAGAACATCGTTTTATTAGTATTTTATTCAAGGTTCTTACATAAACATTTTTACATGCATGCAAAAGATCAAAGACCAATAAGGACTCAGAATTTGATATTATGCATACAACGTATTTCCCTACAACAAAATCATGTAGCTTTGTTGCTATTAACATGATTTACATAATAGTGATGTGATACATCGTACAATATTTGCGGTTGTAACATTGTATGAACTAACGCAACAGAAAAAATAAATAAATAAATAAAAGAAAAAAGTGTCTAATCTAATTGACCTTGATACTGTAAGTAAAAGGCAAAGGCAATTTTGCATATACAAATTACTTTTTTAAAATTTTTTAACCATTGCAACTTACCTAACTGCCATCCCTAAGGATTATACCACAAATAATAAATCTGGCACCTAACGATCATAATTATATGATTCTGGTGTCGTTGTTAAGAGATCATTATGCCATTATTACACCATATAGTAATAAACTGGTTATTATACGATTATACCAATTATGCTGTATAACTCCAACCCTACATACAATTCAATATTGTAGATCACTCTTGTCATTTTGCTTCGGTGATACAAGCAAAAGAAATGAAATTAGATAGGGTATTCCCCTATCTAATTTCATTCTTTTGCTTGTATCACCGAAGCAAAATGACAAGAGTGATCTACAATATTGAATTGTATGGTACCAGTGTTCTCTGTGTCGGTAATACAAACTTATAAAAAAGGGAATTAACAAATCAGAGTGCGTAAATTTGTTCTGATATTAATATACAAACATTGCATGTACGTGAAAGGAATGTGATACTAATTAAAAATAAACCACACCAGTGGTGTTCAACTTCATATATATTAATTTTAATATTTTTGCTAGTAATATTAACGGTTGGGAACCTAAACTATAGTAGAGATATAGGTTTAAATTTTAGTTAGGGTGTGGCTTTTGGAAGCGTTGAACATTTTTATTTATTACATCCAGCATCGGTAGTTTAGCTGGTTTTTGAAATATCGTCATAGCAACTGTGATGTCGAACACCATTGGTGTGATTTAGTAAAATCGATTAACAATTGAGAATGAATTTTATATCAGTATACATAATTACGTACGTACTAATACAGTAAATGATAATCCATTTAATAAGCACCTAAATCTTACTTCTTCTTTCTGTTTTTAAAGTTTTTCAACACAAATAAATAAATCAGCGGGTTAACGCCTTACATCCCGATTTAGGACTATAATTGGATCCCTAGCTTCCTTTATTCTAAATTTTGTGATACGGATTTCAGAAACGACGAACATTGCAGTTTTTTTTTTTTTTGTATATTATTTTATACTAAAAAGGGTTATTGTAAAACTACATTTGCAGGAAATTAAATATTCCTGATATTAATTTTGCACTTAGACAAAAATAGTCATTTTTATCAACCGGACAAAATATTTTGCAATGAAGATGCTATACAAAATCGTTTGTCTTGGAGATGGTGGTGTTGGAAAGGTATAAAACAGCTTATTATATATCGTGGATTTGAATTGTCTAGTTAATATTGACTTTTTGCTTGATCTCTTGACCATATTTAGTCAGCCCTTACAATACAAGTTAGTCAAAATATTTATATATTTTCTCTTTTTCAAATATGTTTATCTTCGTTTTTAATGTGACGTTTCACTCTTTTATTATAGTTATGTCTAAACCAATTTGTTGGTTGGTATAATTTTAATTTTTTTCAATATATCCATAAACCCATCTTAACTATTATATGCTTAATAACTTTCAATACATTATATAGAGGTCTTTGTACATTTTGTATACATTTTTTTTTTTTTACAGACTATAAGATTTTCTTTTTTTACTGATTATATATAAACAATTAGAAATATAACCCAACGATCGAAGATTCATATCGAAAACAAACTGTCGTAGATGACCTTCCTTGTGTTCTAGAAGTATTGGATACTGCTGGGCAAGGTTCGTAAACTTATTTAAATATCATTTTACAACTCATTATTTAATTATCATTTTGCAACCCATAATTTCACTATCATTAAGAGTAAATATGTCATTTTTTGTTATTTTTTCATTAAATTTAATAGAAGAATATGCAGTTTTGCGTAATCAATGGATCAAGTATTGTATTTATATTTTAAAAGTTTGACTCAAGTCATATACACAGTATTAGAATTGAACAATATAATCTAGTTTTTCTGTTTAATAACACTGTTTAATGTATAATAATTTTTTATTCAGTGATGGAGATGGCTTTCTAATTATTTATTCGATATCTTCAAGAGCTACATTTGAAAGAATAGAACAATTTTATCAAACAATTTTATATTTCAAGAATTATGTACCACCAATTATACTGATTGGTAATAAATGCGACAAACATGCTGAACGACAAGTTTCAAGAGAAGAAGGTACGAATTTGGCGAAAAAGCTCAGGTGCGACTTTATAGAAGTTTCTGCCAAAACATGCGTGAATGTGGAAAGATGTTTTTATTCACTGGTTAGAATGATTAGGAATATGAGACGTATTGATTGTAAGAGTGGGAGAAGAAAAAGGAAACAAAAGCATAAAATTTTATAATTTAATCTGTAAATTTAAATCTCATTCATACAATTTCTTGTTAATATTTATAATAAGAAATTTTTTTTTTTTGTTATTTCGAATTTTATTTATTGTATTAAATTTAATGTATTTTTTTATAATCTTTATCGGTATAAATTACATATTAAATATATTTCATCTACCTGCTGTACCAAATAGTGTTCAATATTTTTATTTTGCTTTTGATCTTTTTGTGGATAAAGCCAATGGAATTTTTCCGAATTTATTCAACCTTTGCAATCCATACTTATAGTGTCACGGGTTTTTCCCTCTGGAAAAACCGTGGCTGGGTTATGTTATGATAAGCCACCAGAGTATCATGAGGCTCAGTTGTTGGCTGAACACATAGATCTATATAAATATTTAGTTATTCGTCATTTTTATTTATTTTTATATCTTTAGATTTCTTTTATTTGTTTGTTGTTATAGTAGGTAGTCGGAACTAATAAGTAATGTAGAACTAAGGTTAGACCTAGTGGTAGAACTAGATGAAATGTTTATACAGGGTCCAAAGGAAAAAGTAATAATCCGGTTTAGTTAAAACTATAATAGAAAGAATAGGACTACTCATAGGCAGTGTTGTCATGGGACGCGGACAGCAGACAGTCCGGGACGGGGCGTCCTGGACATGTCCGCCAATATTTTTTTGTCCCGGACAATTTAAATTATAATAAGAACAACCGTGTTAGCCAATCAGGTTGTTCGATAAACTATATGACATGGGACAACCATCACGGACATGGGACATTGTCTGGGACATGGGTAGGGATGTTATAGTCCAGTCTAGTTCGTCTGGTTAATAAAAGACCGTTTATACATTTTAACTATTAATTTATGGA